GCAACACAGTTTTGCTGCTCCTTAACAGAGAGGGAGCTCTTTCAATTCATTCTATCCTGGAAGCCAAGACATTGCCTCCAAATATTGAAATATAAACACGACCTTTGTGGGTATATATACAATGTATATATGTACATGTACCGTACATGTACATTAGCATGCCAATTTTGTTAGTCACCTTTTAATTATGTAATCATTAGCTCAGACATAATTTGTAATCGACATGACTTTGCAAAATTAATAGCTCACTTTTGTGTTATATAGTTAGTGTTTTAAGAAATTGGGTTTGACATGACTTGACACGTGGGCTTTTATTTACTTGATTGTCACAACATCTGTAACTTAGCGTTAGGATGGAACTTGGATACATGTTCCCAATCATATATAGGCCTTCATATATTTCAACTCTTGTGTTCATAAACGTATATACTATATAGGGTAATAATAATTGGAGCCTAAACTTTGATCAAGAAATTTTTACATGCGATCAGTATTGATGTCTGGTATTGGTATACCAGTACATGTATTTGCCAAAATTCAGTGACAGGGATCATGAAACAATAGGCCTGGATGACATGTCAAGACCACCATGCCTGGTTTGGCAGAAGACCATCATTATCCCTTATCGGCCTGTGAGGAAGGTCTTCCCTACCCTGACGAACGGGTCCAAATTTGAAGAAGGTATAGATATATGGCAAGGATTGTGACATGACGCCTTCACCAAACGACCCTGACCGCTCTTGCAAGCCAATCTTGTAGGGTGTACATGTATGTAGGCCTTCGTAGCACGTCGACAGTATCTCTGTCGGTCATGAGGAAATTTGTAGGGGAAGGGAGGGAGTTAGAACAAGACAACAGTTTCACTGGGGAAGGGGGGGGGGGCTTTAGGGGAAGTCCAAATGCTGCTATAATCAGTGGTCATTGAGAGAAGCTAAACTGATGATGGTAGTTATTTCTCTTTAGTTAATTAAAATTCAGTCACATGACTATTACAAACCTGCCAACCAGTACGATTTAGTCGTATTTAGTACGATATTTAGAAGCAAATACGACAGTACGATTTTCCTCAATAAAATATTTATTTTGTTTTTAAATAATATTTTTTGGTTGTATTTTGTGTTTGTGTGTGTGCCATTTTCAATGGCAAAATGCCCATTCTGTCATAAAAAGCATCTCACATCAGCAATTTGGGGATGTTCATTGGTTCATCGAACACACCAGTCGTGACAAAATCATGCATATTCAAACCAATGATCCATAAAAAAATTCTTCCTGTATGTAGGAACTGTAAGAGGCATTGATCAACGTAACAGTCCGTGTTTATTTTTAAGAATACAACTTTTGTCAGTAAAATATAACTTTTGGGATTAAAGAATACAGTTTTTGAACTCCAGAGGTTGGCAGGTCTGCTATTAGGTGTTTTCACTATATTACTCTTTCTAAATTAACTTGTCTTGGTACATAATTAATTTCTCTGATTATTGCCATTTATTTAGTATTGTTGCTGTTATTATTTCTGCTTGGTTTCAAGTCGTCTTTAAAATCTTAAGGGGCAGGCAACCTTTCTAGACGGGGAGAGAGAGAGAGAGAGAGAGAGAGAAAGAGATAAAATCACAGGGAGGGAGGGAGAGGGAGAATAAAGATGTAGCATTTATTTGATAATGGGAGTACCATCAAATCAAAAGGCCTACATATATATAATTATATATCTATATACATGTATATATACATGTATGTACATCTAAATGTTGACAACAGGCACATTAAAGAAAGCAAAAGAAGTTCATATCTTACTTTGTTTTGCATGAATGTAGAATGCAGATCTATACCTGTAGAAAGGAGCACAATTAAAAATAATAATGTCTTACTAGGGCTTCAGTTTTCCTGGCTAAGTGGTGGATCTTCGTGTAAATTGTAGCTGATCCTCTAAAGACTTGATGAAGAACTTGGCTCGAAGGCTAAACATTTCATGTGCTAAAAAAAGAGAAGAATATACTTGACTGAAGAAAATCAGTTAAGTAGCTGCTGTGTTCTTTGACCTCTAGAGAATGGTCTCTGTAAACTAGCAAGACCAAGACAAATGAAAGACTAAATGACTAGTTACAGAAACAGGGAAATGGCATTGGAAAGCAAGGAAAAATTGTTAAATTAAGGGATTTATCAAGAGGAAGAGAAAAGAGATAGATAGAGAGAGAGAGAGAGATAGGGAGAGAGAGAAGTGGAGTGAACATACACCCACTGTATTGCTCGCCCTACATAGTAGTTCATGGTCATGCGTATTCATAAATTAGCCTGACCCTACAAAGTTTATTGTCTGTGAGTTGAAACTCATCCTACATGTGTGTGAGCTCCACAGCTTGGTTTTGTGTACATGGAGAGTTCGCTCTATGCCTTACATGTTTGTATGCAGCGGGGAGGTTGCAATGTAGTTTCAATGTACTTCCCTGCCAGCAGTAGTTAGTACACAGGCAAGAACTACACTGTGTGTGTACTTTACTGTGCTGTTTCAGATTTGTTGGTGTTTTTATTACTTAGATTTGATAATGTTTGTCAATGTTTGCCAAAAACACCCCTCTTTTGGAGGATTATGTGCTAGGGGTTCCAGAATAAAGAAAATTATAGTTATAAATCCTTTTAACCCTAAAAATTTGCCATATCTTGGAAGAAAAGGAAGTTGAGTAATATATTTTGTCAATACATGAGCTACATGTTTACATGTAGGTTACATGTATCACCAATGTAAGTTTGTTGTTTTAGTTCTTCTTCATTTTCATGTACACCTGTATTTACGAGAGGGAAATTAAGGTGACACATTATTTTCAATATCTACAGAAAAATATAATCACACAACAAATAGCAAAAAGAGTAACTGTACTATATGTTCTCATTTATATTTTCATATGTCTGTTATCACAGTATAAGACAACACCACAGACACCTTTAACATACTATATAATTCATGGTATACCCTCACTAATGCCCTAATGATTTCATAAAGACATTGGTAATGAATTGGCAACATATTTACAACTTCATAAAAATGTGTCAATAATGCTTCATTCAAATTGCTAAAGTAGGGTAATTCATACATTTCTAGGCTTACATGATTGTTGAACCAACCAAGGAATGTCAGTATTGCCATTTTTGAAGAGGACAATCTGCTACATTCATTACCAATCTTGAATTGTAATTAATACATCATGATTTGTAGAAAAACTTGTCGGTACTTGAAGTTCTGTATCCTGCACAAGTTTATGTGATCTTTCAAAATGACAATGCAATGAATTGTGCAATCCATATTTACAATTGTTTTCAAATTCCATAAATCGTTGCTATGGAAATTTCTTCTGCATGTTTCTGGTTGTCATGTATCTTGTTAATTCACTAAACATTGCTAATCATTATTTCCTACAATTATAATGAGTTTTCATGCAGGCCTCACCTTTATTTGTTATTACACCCTGTTGCTCCTAAACAGTGACACTATTAGTCCTACCCCCTCTTTGTCCTAGATGTAATAGTCCTATAGACCCTAATGATCCTACCAACCAGTGGTCCTGTACTAACCTACATTACGTTTATAATCATGTAATACACGGTTTACGGGTTGTTTATAGAGTTAGGTTTAGGGTCATGGCTTCTCTATGAACTTGATTCCAAGTTTGTAACAGAAAAAATATTACGTTCGCATACAATGTAGTAACAATCGTCCATTCGCCCCATAGGATACAAGTATCTGTTCTTGTTGTTATTTTTTTGTAGGCTTATTTCAAATTTAAAAGGTGATCATAATTTTGTTTTAAAGGAGCAACTAATGAGCTTACGGGAATTTCATCTTGTAGTGTTCTAGATTGGCAAGTAAATGACTTTAGGCTCTGCATCTGTTCTCTCTCTCTTCTCTCTCTCTCTCTCCTCTCTCTCTCTCTCTCTCTCTTTCTCTCTCTTTCTCTTAAATTTCATCTTGTGAAATTGGCGTTTGTACAAGTTCTGTAACAACTTAGATGACCACTTAAGAAAGCTTAAAACATTAAGTAGCTATGATATTAGTCACAACTTTCATTTTAAAAACAGTGCAAGGGCACAGATTGTTTCTTCCAGAATCTACAATAGGCCATTTTGCTGTGCAGAGTACTTAGTAGAAAAATCCTTGTCGTATGACCAGTCTGCGAACTACACACAGTTTCTTTCTTCCATTTTTTTCCCCTTGGTTTTCTTTCAAAGGAAGTAACTTGTACTGTTCATAACAGGAAATGACTTGACTTCTTCAAAAAATGGGTAAATGCTTGTTAGAGGGAGCTCTTTAACACCAAGAGCCAGGGCACAAAATTAGCCTTCACCAGGATGCCATCAGACTTGTCTTCATCAGCTCGAGTTTGCCAAATAACCCGCTATTTTAACTATCCCAATGCTGATAAGCCAGTAAATTTGCGTCTCCATCAGCCCGCAGTTGCAGTTTTGTTTCAAAAATATCCTGTTATTTGGGAAATAGCGGGCTAATTTGCGCCCGTCCGAGCGAGTTTGTGATGAGCGTATCGGTCTGGTGAGGATGCAATTTCGAGCTTGGGGATAATGTCCCGAGTCTGAAAATAGCAAGTTATTTGGCAAACTCAAGCTGATGAAGAGAGGCGTAGAGACCACCATTAATCCTTTGGGCAAGCTTAGAGTATTGTCTTTTTGGGGGGCCTAGATCTGGGAAAGCTGCATAATACGGTAGTAACAGCAGAATATATAAAGAACGTATATGGAAATTACTTTGATAAAAATCTCACTTTTATGATGATAAAACCAAAATGCTCTAATGAACAAAATAATGAATACTGTTGATAAACTTAGTGGCATAGATGCGAAATTATTGTTGTAAGCATACTATTCCCGGTGTTCATGTGATACATTGAAGACTATTTACATTAGGTCCCTTAAAGCATTCACTATTTCTCAATCTAGCTACAATTTTGAGGCATTACACTTAATACTGTTCTCATATTTTCAATCTATTTCAGAAAAAGGCGGTGGATCGGAAACGACCCAATCCCGATTCTCCCAATCGGACGGGGACGACGGAGGCGATCAACCGAACCAGTGCCCTGAGTCTAGAGGCAAGCAGTTCAAGCAGCGGCGTTAGAGGAGATGCATCACCAGCTAAGAAGCCATGTATGGACAGCAAGCAGCAGCAGCTACCAGGACAGGTGCCCACACCGAACCAGTACGTCCAGCAACAAGATCTCAACAGGATGGGGGCCAACCACCAGGCACAGCCTACTGACAATGGCGTCAACAACCAGATGCCCGAGGGCGCGTCTGTGGCAGATGGCGTCGAGGGGCTTGACTTGCTCAACGATATCGGCAACGAGGATGATTTCATGCGTTTATTGGATGATCCCAATGGAACACAGTTGGAAGAGATGATGAAATCCGGTCAGTTTAACCCTGAAAATCTTTTGACTGAGCTGGCCAGGCTGGAAAATAATTTGAGTATGCAACTTGGAGAAATGCCCGACGTAGCCACTAATTCACCTAGGAGTCAGGACCCAAATAAACAAGGTGATATGAAACCTGACGCGGCTTCCAAAAATGCAGAATCTGGAGTGGTCCCCAAAAGTGAGAATTCAGACTCATATGACCCCATGATGGAGGGGCCTCCAAATACTGTAGCTACTGAAGCTTTGCCAAAAGGTGGGCCTTTGCCTAGTATACATGAATTTAAACCATCTACAGGAAAGAATGTATTGATCAAACAAGAACCCCAGCAAATCCACGCCTCACAGGCTCACAGACTCAATGTGCAGCAGACAGCTGTAAGTACTGGTGCCCAGAACATTGTACCCAAGGTAAACCAGCTAACTTCAATGCAGGCCACTGCTACATCAGCAGCATCAGCAATGAATCCTTCAATGAGAGGGTCATTTGTGGGCCAACAAAGTGGTGTATCGGGGCAGCAGGGAAGTTTCTTGACTGCTCAGCAGCAGCAGCAGCAATTGAGTAGCAGGCAGTTTATGCAGAATCCCCGCATGGCCAACAACCAACAGAGCCAACATTCAAGGATGCCCAATCCAAGGCTCACTACTAATATGAACGCTTCCATGTCAAGTGCAGACCAACTTACGCAATTTGCAAATAACTCTATGCGAGGTCAAGGTCAGTCTACCGGGAGACTCCCAAGTATGTTACAATCCTTTATCCAGGACCGTAGTCCAACCATGGCCCTGTCCAGTGGCCAAGCAGGGACCATGATGCCCGGGCAGGCCTCCCAGTTTGTACAGCGTCCTCAGCAGCAACAGCGTATGGCTAGCCCTGAAATTCTCCAGAGGTTGCAGAATCCACCCCATTATAATGCCAATGCAGAGCAAAGAAAGTTTGTGGCCAACTCGTATGTCCAGCCATCGCAGCAGAGTCATAGCATGCAGCAGCAGGGCAACAATCAGATGCTTATTCCTAGACGTCCTCCGCCTCGTTATGACGAGACACCGCACCGCAACTCCATGGCATTCCAAGGTCCTGTCAACCAAGGAATGCCACAACAGCTTGGTCAGCAAGGAGCTATGATGACACACATGGCAGGACAACCAAACATTCGCTCAATCGCGCCTGGCCAGAGTGTGCAAGCCCACCCGAACAACGGCATGGCTGCAAGCGGAGGTAACCTCGCTACCCATTCCGGTATGATGCAGGGGATGACCCAGCAGCAACCGCAGCAACAGGGGATGATGCATCGTCTAACCCCACAGATCCGACGTCAGATCATGCAGCAGCAGAATATGCGTAGCATGCAGCAAACTGCAGCCATGGGTAACCAGATGAACATGGGATCTGTTCCTCCTGGTGCCGTCAACATGGGTCAGGCAGGGGTGGCTCAGTACCAGCAGCAAAGGCACCTGCCTGGCCAGTGGACGACAAACCAGCTCTTGCAGCATCGGATGCAACAGCAGACAAACAACTTCCAAGGTAACAACATGATGCAGCAGTCGTACCCGACGCAATCGCGCTTCCCTCAAAGAAACGTCATGGACTCTGGCTCCAACATGAGAACTTTCCAGAATATCACCTCTCAAGGTGGTATGAGCAATGCTACGAATACAAACCCTTCCATTATGACGCAGCAGCAATTTGTAGGTCAGCCAACACAGTCCCAGCAACAGCAAGCTCAGCAACCGACACAACAGCAGCAACAGCAGCATCAACAACATCAACAACAGCAACAACAGCAGGGCACTATGCAACAGCCTGTTCAAGGTAACTCCATTGCAGCAGCCATGCAGAACGGTTCTGCTGTGAGCGCAACAAACCAGACATTCGGCAACAATGCACAGCAAATGCAAATGGCCATGATGCCAGAAAGCAACAACCAACAGCAACAGCAGCAACAGCAGCAGCAACAACAACAACAACAACAACAACAATCAGGCAGCACCGACATGTTAGATTTGCTTGACAACATCATTAAAAATGACGGGCCTTCGAGAACAAATAGTCACGTGTAGGATATAGCGAGAGAGTCCAGTGTGATACAAAGAATGATCTGAATTATGATGATAGATATATGGCTTTTAAATGATATTGTAAGAAAGAAAAAAGAGATTTGTATTTATATGAAAATATGCATGTTAACGATTTAGAGCTGTAGATACCACTATTTAAGTGGAAGTTTTTAAATTAATATATGGGTCTCTGTCTCTGAGACTGTATGGATAGGAGAGAATTTTTTTGTCAGTATTGTCTTATCTTTTCTTTGATATTGTTGTCTAGAACAAGTGGTGGTTGAACGGTCATTATCTCTAGATAGGTGTATTTGTGTAAAGGGTTTGTTAAATAAGACTATCATGAAATCTCAGGTTTTGAAACTTCAGTGAATTGTTGTATCACTGATTTTTAACTTCTCAGTGATTCTTCTATAGAAAGGGACGTAGGGTTTCCTTTCGTAATAAGTGCACACTCTTTTTGCTAGAAAACAGTTGCCTTTAACTTGAGTTTGAACTTCTCTTTTGAAGTGACTGTGAAATTCTTTTTTCTGGTATCGGACTATACTATAAGCACTGACTGACCTTAACACATTAAAGAAAGCATGGTGCATTGTATATCTCTTTCCTAAGATTAGATATCATTTTTCTATCTCGAAAGTCGAAAGCAATCAATATTTTTAATCCTGGAAGCAAATATTTTGTATGTAATGAGATATGCAGATGTATATACTGAAAATAGGATAGTGGTCACAAATATTTATTATTTTGTTACTTTTTTTTTTTCTTCTTCCCTTTTTTCCAGATCTTTGTACCCTAAAGAGATCACAACCATTGCCTTAATGTAAAGAATAAAGAATCAACGAGAAAGAAAATTTGACAAATACAGTGATTGAAGCAAATGCCATTTATAGATCAAAAGTCAGTGAAATTTCATATAGTGAAGGCTTTGTATTGTTCATTTTTTTAATAATAATAATAACAATAGTGGGTTCTTGTATAGCGCTCATGTCTGTCAGACTTGACACTCCTGGCGCTCCCGATTAAGATTCAAATTTATCAAAATCTTACAAAATAAACCACGTTATTTTCTCTCTTAGATTGTCGTATGTCACCAAAGCTGCATTTTATCTCCTAAGTTGAATATATGAAAATACAAATGTAATGAGAAATGCATATATATTTCTGAAAAAATAATGGATACTCCAGTATTTTATTCATGGTACTGAAGTTTAAGGTGAATTTGAGAATTACGAAGGTTAACAGAATTGAAAATGTGATTATGTATAAACCAAACCATTCAAATGAAATAGTATTATGAGGAGAGCTATTTTAGTATGAATTAACCCTAGACACGGTTGAAATTTTCATCTTATATTTTCTGATTGCTGAATCTCAACTAAAAAAATAATAAAAGTAAAAAATATCAGACCATCATAAGGGGTTCAATTGAAGATGCAACGTGAAGAGGTTGCTGACTGAAAGTGCTGGATTGAAATGGATAAGTTTGGTCGTACTCTGTGTGAGGGTCGTATTTTACATTTTCCTAAAAGAATGATAGTTTGCTCTTTGCTTGTATTGTTTGTTCTTTTGTATCAGCTCGTTCAGATATGGTGCTGTCAAACTGCAGCATTTTTTTGGTATAATGATGGCATTAAGTGTAATACACTTCACATTGCTGTTTCTTATAACACAGACCTCGGTGAAGGCGCGCAGGACCTTAATTGCGCACATTTGCCATTCATTTAAACGTGTAAACAAATGTGTGCGGCTTATTTGCAGCAGTTCTCCACATCAGATGTGAATGAGCCTTTAATGATTTATTTTTGGAAGAGGAGAGATAGTAAATTATCTATTTTGTAATGAAAAATAATTTGATATTGACATCAGAATGGTGGACCAAAATGATTGAATGCCAATGATAGGATTGCAGTTAGATAAAAGAATACTGTTTAATGAATAAATGTACATGTTGATCTGGTCTTGCGTATTTTTAAAGGGAATGTTCATTCATGAGAGGCAGGCATGGTCTATGGTATCACTGTGTAATGAAGTCATCTGGGACAAATCTAAACTAAAAACTATGAAATTTGCAAATTTGGTGTTAAATTGGCGATCTGAATACCTGGTTTTTGCCTCATTTCTGAAAATTTATGGATGCCAATGTACCAGAGGTTTACTGAGCCCATGAAGATTACCTTCTTCATCTTATTAAACAAAATCATTCTCAATTTCAAAGGTTTTTTAAATTTTAAATATTTTGAAGAACTCAGCTCAGCTTACACTCTGGCTAATTTGGAAGAGTTAGTTGACTGAATTATGAAAAGACTACTGACAGCCTCTTCATTCCTTAAGAAATACTGTAACTATGCTAATAAGTGAGTAAGGCAAACAAAAAGCATGTTCATCTCATTATGATATCAGTAACTCGAATACATTAAATGAATGATACATTTTGCTATTCATTTTGTTACATATGTGTAGTAATCTGTATGAAATGCAAGAGGCAACTACACTCTGTATGTCAATTGACTAAATCTAAGGTTAAACCTTTGTCTGCATAAGTATGGAGTAATGATATTCATATGTAATCAGCGTTGTGAGGTGAACCTTCCCTTTAAAACACAAGATAGCAGGTAGCCAACAAGGGTCCATATGGTTTTGTGAGAGTCTACGTTTACGTCAGTAGTGTTTTTCCTGGTGTTGCCAAGCATATGACATCTTTCTATGAGCCGTTTATTTGAGCTCATTGCCCTAGTAATGAGTTGTGATTTGGTTGGTATTTCTTCTTTTTTATTTTGATATGTGTAAAGCTTTTTTTTGTATACAATCCATGGGGAAGTCATGTGTCGGCTGTAAGGAGAAGTAGAGCCTTTCGAAATTTCAAGAAAAATTGAGTTACTTGCATGTAGGCATTCAAGCGGGCAACAGCATACTTGCATGTTGATGCATGGTCTACAAGTATGTCATGTACCAGCAAGAACCCTATTTGTCAGAATCCAGATTTTGAAGGAAATAGTAGAGATTTACTGTTCATTGGGCCTGTGCATGTTTTATCAAAGAACTACATTGTACGCTAATGAAGGATGGTGTCAGTGGATGTTATCTTCTGTAACAACTCAACAGATTTAAAAAAATCTCACCTTTTCTGTTTCATCACTGCTTTATTTTGGAACTAACATATTTGACCTTGCCAGTTTTATTGACAATGATGTTTCAATGATCTTTGCAATCATGATATTATCAAATACAACATTTTAAACCTGATAATGAAATTTTTACTCTTCTTAAAACCATCAACGCTCATTTTAACAATGGAATTAACCTTTCGTATAAAAAAAGGTGTCCAGTAGAACAGTTGTTGAGGGCTGATGAGGGATGGCTCGGTGAAAAGAGCAATGGTCTTGAAACTAGCAGGTAGTAGGTTTTAAACCTTAAGAGAAATTTTCATACGATAAATTTTGGATACTCTTGTCCTTTTGGAAAAATCATATTTCAAAACATCGTTATGAAGCAACCTAACGGGACACAATGAGAGGCCACACTACACGGTCAGCAGGCCTACATTTTTGCTAACTTGCTTCCTTCTTTGTTGGAATAAATCCTGAAGAGTGTAGAACCAACAGGAGACCGTACAGGGAACAAGAGACACTGAAATGAGATCTTCATCTACATCTACAGATTTTGCCATTCTACATATAGTTGTATAGTTGAATCGAAACTTAATGTTGGTCATTATATGGAGTAGATTGGTCTCGAGTAAACGATTCCACTGTGCAGTGTGGCCTTTCATTGCGTCCCTTTACGTTGCTTCATAACGGTGTTTTGAAATATGATTTGCAAGTGCATTTTCTGTATGGTAGAAGGAGACAGTGGTTTGACAATTAAATGACAGTACCACTTCCGGTCACTTAGTTTTGTATTGTAGGATTACAGTGTGCTTTATCCTATGATGTTTCAAGATGGTACAACGTGCTAGGTCATATTTCATGTCATCATTGCATTAATTGCACATTATTTGCAGTCGGGAATCACTGCTGTCCAGTATTGGCCTGTTGTTACAAAAGTCAAGTTATAACTGTTGTTCCTACATGCCTTTGCCAATACATTGCCTGATGCACTTGGAGACAGACAAAGGGCTACATTTTGTGTGCACTGTTCTAAAACGAAAAAAATAGAAGATTATGCAGATCCACCAAACAGCATACTGTAGTCTGCCAAGATCTCTACTTGCTTGGCAATTTGCCAGGATTTCTGCCAGGGTTCTTCATGCTGTTAATTCTTCTCTTTTTTTTTCTCTAAATGCCTTTGCTTTTTTCTAATGCACAATTTCATGTGTGCCATCCCCACTCCCCCCCCCCCCCCTCTTTCTCTCTCTCTCTCTCTCTCTCTCTCTCTCTCTCTTCTAACTCATTTTTCCTCTTGTCATATTTAGAATTGGCATCATGAAAAAAATGTCCAAGGCTTAGTTTTGGGATTCAGTCTCTTTGCTTGACATGCATCAGCAAAAGGGACTGAGACTATCAAAAGATTTGATCAGGACCAGTAGTTCCCCCTATGAAACTAAATATACAGTGAAACCTGTCTATAAAGACCACTCCAAGGTGACAAGAGAAGTGATCTCTATAGGCAGGTGGTCACAATGTACAGGTTTCTAGGAGAAACAGTTGTCAAGAGAAACACAACATGTGGTCTTTATATATATAGGTGGTCACTAAATAGGTTTCATTGTAAATTGTTTACAGTGGGGAGGATCTCAATTGAAAATTCCACAAAGTATTTTTTCTGCAAGGCATTTTGGAGAAGTAAAAAAATCTATGAGTTCTGTAAACTTATGGCCCAAAATGCTATCAGTTCTGTTCTTGGATATGCATTGTGTACAGTAATTTTGCATTCAGTCCATTGTCTTAATGTGTTCAATTCAGTCAATTTGAAAATGTAGATTAAAAATGTAAAATGTGGAAAACTTGTTTATCCTATGTACATTTGCTTGTAATACTTATAAGCGAATGTTTTTAGTAGTATCAAAGGTTCCATGATATGACAATTCTCACCTTTCTTGATGTTGATAATTACCAGCACGACGTAAAAAGGCTTAGATGGGACACCACCTTTGCAATGGACCTGACTGCAATCAAAACAGTAGCATAGCCAAAATGACAAAAGACGACCATTAATGATATTATGGCATCAGTATATTAGTAATAATACAGTATTAAATATTCGAAGCAATACTTTTTAAATACTTGTATACTTTCATTTTATCATTGATTCCTTCCTTTAAATTGCTTGGCTTTTAAATCTCCTTGAGCACGTTAAATAATTACAGTGCTTATATAGCGCCTAACACTTACTTTGTCAGAAGTCTCTAAGCGCTCTACAATAATGCAGCATAATTACCCTGGCTTTAGCAGTGCAGCTGTTACGCGCGCTGCGTTTCAAGGAATAAATTCCTACCAGGTACCCATTTACTTCACCTGGGTGGAGTGTGGCAAATGTAGATCAATGTCTTGCCAAAGGACATTAGTGCAGCGGCGGGACTCGAACCGCGGACCTTGTGATCGACAGTCCGGCGATGTATCCACTCGACCACAACACCTCTACAAGTTGTGATCTGGACATTGTTAAATTAGTTTTGGAAACAGTAAAACTGGGGAAATGATACTTGAAAGTAAAAAGAAAATCATCTCAAACATGTATTAGTGAAAATTCTATATGCTTATGAAGCTATGAGTCCAGAGCATGGGAATTTTATTACCGTTATTCACTATCAGGTATGGGGCTACACTAAACACCCATAGCTGTTGTCTTGCCACCTATCTTTATGAAGATGTTGGAGACCATATCAGAAGGGGTTACTAGTAACTGAATGATC